GTGAATTTATCCAGATATTTTATTGTCGTAGACCTCGCCATGGGCTTAGTCAATCATTAACATAATAATTAAGATTCATCAGAAAATTTAAATAGAAAAACTGTGAAATATTCACGGGTATGTCTAGTAAATTCTATTAGTACTAATTCGTTCTTCATATTAATTATCTTTCTCGCAACGCCAAAATTGCTTCTTGTCAGCACTAGTCATATGAAAATCGTAAACCCAATTTAATACTAGGTATATGAAAATCGTAAACTCACTTCGATACTAGGCATATGGAAATCGTAAACCCAATTCAATACTAGAAATATGGAAATCGTAAACCCAGTTCAATATTAGCCGTATGAAAATCGTAAACTTTATTTGATACTGCAATAATTGTCTATTTATTTTTATTTTAAATATCCTTCGCAAACCTGCTAATAAGGCGCTCATTGAAGTTTTTGTAATATACCTTTGCAGCAGATATCACTTTTATACTTGATCTTTATTTAAAAAAATATATTGCAGGGTGAAAATATAGTTAACTATCAATTCTAGTTAATGTAATGAATAAGGATAATAAATTATATATTAGCGTGTTCGTAAAGGAATTAACTTTTACCAATTACGTTTTTGCTACTGAAAACTGAAGGGTTTGAAAACGTCTTGTTCGTTTTCAATAATTTATTTTCTTTTTTTTTTTTTTTGAAGGTTATAAAGGCTCCCTTAAATATTAAAAGGGCTACGCGTGATGTACAGTAAATTGAGTTTTTCTATTCCAGTGAAAGATCAATTATTCAAACTCAGAGAAAATACCGGTAACATTTAACGTCAGAGTATCTCTTAACGATAAAGAACTGGATCAGTCGGCGATTTTCCAGGAACAAGCCCTTAGCGCACTGTGCGCACCAACTCAGCGGTGGAAGCTGTACGGTAGAAAGGCTTTGAAGATCCATCATCTTCTACCCATCGTTGTTCTGCTCAACAAGAACACCACTTCAGAAGATTCTGAAACTGAATTTCAAAATGTTTCCATACAATATTCAAATGGTTCAAACTTTACTACCCCAACATATTCATGTGTTTGTAAAAGTAATTATGTTTTACTAGAAAAGATTACATTCACTTAAGTGCAAATAATTTTGGGAAACGTATGAATCTATCTCTTTCACCTCCCAGTTATGGGTTAAATAGTAATTTTTTGTATCTGGAAATTGTATTGTAAAAAATGAAAAAAATCGTCAATGAAATATTTATTCTCAAAAAAGAATTATTCTTATAATACAAAATATGTGTCGGTTTTAAATAACCCACAAAAGGTTGATAAGCCGTAAAACATAAATTAATCAAATCAAATACCAGAAATGATATAAAACAACAAATGTAACTTAAAGTTATCTAAATATTATCTAGAAAAAATGTACATATTTTAATTTTCAATAACCGCAGCCCAAAAAGAAGGTAACTTTTCGATTCCAAGTTGAAAGAAATCTGAGTTTTTTTTTCCCGGGAAATGTTTTGAAAGACTGTTTTCAACTTCTTGTTTGTTTCTGAATGTTCTGCTACTGATAAAATCTTGTAACGACCAAAACAAATAAGAATTTGTATGTATTAAATTTAGTAAACATATCGGATGTGCAAGAACCTTCCATCCTAAGGATATTATTTTTCTTGGGTTTATTTTGCAGTGTGTGTCATTGAATGTTATGCTGTATACAAATACATAACATTTTTGACGGTAATAATTCATTTACCTGATCAAGTTCCTAGTAATAAAAGTCTGCAATGATAGTCATTCCACTAACACTTAACAGAAAACTTACATCTTACACTCAACGCAGAGAACCAGCACTTTTGTTAATGGAATTCTTGATTTTGGTGTTGGCACAGATTTTCTCATACCCACTATATTTTTCGATTTCTGTTGACATGCAAAACCCATTTTTCATCGCCTTTAATAATACAATGCAAAAATAAAAGGTTGGAATTCTTGGTTAAAAGATTGCTGCAGATAGCAAAATGTTGTATTTGGTTTTCAAGCGAAACCTTAAAAATTCTAATTCCTTCTTTGAAAATTTTTCCAATTACAATCTAAAATGCACTATACACGACACACTGTCAGATAGAAGAAATGATAAAATAATCCTAGGCACAGTTTCCTACCGTTCACTCTTGGTTCCGCTTTGGTTAGTTGACATCATTCACAGAGGTGCAATACGTTATTACTTTTTAGACTAATATCTATATTTTATGTATGCCGTAGCTTTATATTTAAATCATGGATGTTAATGGCTGACCATTCGTATTCGAGAATACCTGTCTACCAAAGCAGATAGCTAATCCCTACAGCAGAGGCTTGCTCGGGCGAATTTTGCGTGTTTTTCAACGCCCACAAAGCCCATTTGTTGTTTTATACTGCAACTATTCTGAGCAGACCTTAGTTACAGTTTTTAGGAGGGAAGCATGTTATCTAGCGTTATCAACAATTTGGACAACGTGAGCATTTTCAAACCCTCTGCCACGATGACTTGCGACTTCGTGCTAGCACATGCATCGTTGGTCCTCAAGTGTTACGTCTACCCAATTTCACTCATAAGGCTTGAGTCAACCATGCGGTATGGTTTTCAGACACTTTCGCACGCTTTCCTCCAGACCGATAACAAAAAAGACCATGGTGAGATTCGAACCCGGGTCACATAGCTTTAAAGCGGGAAGAACAAGTGTAACGGACGAAATTCGATCTGGTCATCCCTTCAACATTGCGCACGAACAAACCCATCCAGCGGGTGAGATGAACTTGAATCACGTTAGCACAAGTGGCGGCCATCTTAAACATCAGCTATAAATCTGCACAAGCCATCGTGGATGATGACTTGGAGTGAGTAAAGTTTGTGCGCGTTGGGCGTTCAAATAAGCCAGCGGCGCAAACGTTGCTTCTTGAGCAAACGAAAATCTTCTTTTCGAACGGAATGAAGAAGTTCGGTAAAAGATACCAGAATTGCAGGGAAACTATGTTAAAAAGCAACATAGGCATTTATTTTTCTTCAATTGAAATAAAGCTATTGTCTGGAAATTTCTCTTACCTTTTGAGTTGTCCTTGTATATAGATAAATGTAATTTAATCTTGATAAATATTTCAAGTGCGCAACAAAGTTGTGTATCCATCACCTATTTGAAGTGTGTCATGGCCCTCAATATTTAAATTAAAATCAGACGTGTTGTCAAGGGACATGCTTTTTTTCTGTTTCCTCTTTCTTTCTTCTTTCTTCTCTTCCTTTATTTCCTGTCTAGACTGAGAGATGGCGGGATAGAATCTGGGTTGCGTAAAACCCAGACAGCTTGACCTTTTAATGGAATAAGTAAAGGTCGGTTACCCAAGCGCACGTGACATGCCCCGTCAAGTGTGATTTTTTAAAATATATTTTCAGTTACCAGAAAATTTCCGACTAAGTCAAGTCGTGAATGAATTGACTCACATCGTGCGCTCATAAGAAATGCGCCTATGGACTTATTCGATTTCTAAACGTGTAACGAACAAGAAAATAATATTCCCGAAGAAATCTTCCCAGTCTTATCTTAGACATATTTCGAGTACTAGATGCGGAACGAAATAGAAGTACCATTCCAGAATCTCCCAGTTTATATTGCAGAATGAATCTGATATGCCCCGGAAAGGGATATATTTGTTCGAAGTAGCAAAGTGGTTTTTCACTACTGTAACTGAGTAGGACAGACTAGCAGGTAACCGTAATGGACTGGTCCTCATCGTAGTGGTAGGCAATAGGCGTAGGCAGTAGGCGTCGTCATGTACCTCCACATCAGTCTGTATTTATGGCTGACACCTGCCAATCATATTACTGTGAGGGGGAACCCAGGTGTATGCATATTCATTACATCAGAATCATTACCGATTTTCCTTCGGATATTCTAAAGAACCTCTATTGGTTTGTTGTTATGAACACTTCAACTTACGAACTCTTATTTATGGATAATCGGAGTGATATCCAGTATTGGTTAAGTGCCGCTTGTTGATCTTACGTCTGCTATCTTACATTCTCTCCCTATTCACTTGTTTTGTTATATAAAACTTTCATCCTGTGTTTGTTGTTTGTTGACATATGCATATCCATCTCAGCGACTCCATCATTACTTTTTTTTTTTTTTTGTTAACCAGGTGTTTTTGTATACGGATGTTGCCAGTTCGTAACAGAAGTAATCAAATGTCTTAAAATAAACTGAACCCCAATATAATTTCTTGTTGAAGAAATGCTTGAAGAATTACAAATAACTTTCAAAGAAGAAAGAATTTTCAAAGAATGGATGATATCCAGTATTGGAAAGTGCGCATTAATGGTAATATTAACCGATTCCTTATAAGGACACATTTGGAAGTAAAAGATAACAACGAGGCAACAATAATCTACAAATATATCAATAAAAAAAACTCGACAAATCCATAGAATCAATGAGGAGCTATCATCGTCAACGTCTTCAAAGAAGAGAAAACCTCTATTAAGACTATTATAGGCACCTTATGAAATTATTTGAAATAAGTGAATAGTTAATTTCATACCTAAAGAAAAAGAAGTATTTTTTATCGGAAGAGAAAGAAAGCCGAGAAAGATTGTATTCAGAAAAAAAAAATCAAGTTGGTTCCTCATTTGCAGACTTAAGTAAGAGGCTTTTAGTTGTTGTGGGTCTAAAGAGTTTATTATTGATCAGCGATTGGCAAAATTGATCTGACATCCGTGAAAATTAATGCCAGGAACAATGTAATACCGTGTCATACTCAATTTGGCTTCTCTTTAAATATTTAGACATTTTATAGGCGTTCATTTCATCTCATCTGCTGGGAGATAAAAGTACACAAGTATATGAATGTCGATCCACGTGTACTCACAGGCATAGGACAGTGAGAGGGAGAGAGGATAAAGAAAGGAAGGTGGGTTAAACGAAGAGAAGATCGAGCGGTGGACGGACAGCAGAGGTTAGAGAAAAGGAAAGCGGCAGCTTAGCTAAGAAATGAATATACGAAAGAGAATTACAAAGTTAACAGAGACAAAATGTGTTTCTGTGTAAGTGTGTGCGTTTGTGTGTGGGGGAGATAGATAGAGAGAGAGAGATAGATAGAGAGATAGAGAGAGAGAGGAAGACGGTGTGTAAGAAAAAAGATACTTAGCCAGAGAGACAGAAACTGTTGGGAGAAAGAAGGCGAATTGGAGACAAGTCTTAACACAATTCTTGCAAGAATAAAACATTTTTGTTGACGAATTAGGATGATCTACAATAAATATCTCGTTCAATACTAGAGATATGTCTGATCATAACCATTTGGCAATGTTGTCTAGCTGCTTATGCACTGTGTATATCTGTTGATGGACGGGAATAACGGGGGAGGAGCATCATGTCACACTGTCGAATGTGTTGATTTTTCAGTTTGAAGGAATAGGCTACCTTGGCAACTTGCGAGTTAAATCTAGAAATTTACGAATAGTCGATATATGAGATCGTCTGAGCGGACAAGGTTAAAATTTTCAAGGTATTTCTAATTGGGCCCACCTTCAAGATTATGCGTGGCTTTTATCAAAACCTACCACCATGTCGAACACATTTGACTGCGATGAATGCGCCTAATATACGCTTATACGACTGGGTATCATGATGGGTACATTGGGTTTCGTATATTTTTACCCCAGTGTAATTTTTGTTGACATGATGTTCTCTCACCCATTAATAATAATAATAATAATAAACAGAAACGTCAAACTAAAGTAAGAAAAAAGTACAGGATTGAAACTGTGTTAGAAATTTTTTCAGAAAGAAAAAGAATGTAAAAATCAAACCGAGAAAAATTGAATATATATATATATATATATATATATATATATATAACATTGAAATATGGATAGAAGAATGCAAGAGAAACACGAATTTAATAGTAGGACAATTAAAGAAGAAAGGCTTAAAAACAAACAAATAAGAAAGAAGAAATCGTGAGAATCACGCACGCACGCGCACACACACACAAAGCAATAAAGAAAAATACCATTGATAGATATCGCTTGCTAATCAGCCATCATTATATTCTGGAACCGCTAATACGCTTTAGGGGAGAATTCCGGTACGAGAGCCGAGTTTAGGCAACCTCAACAAACCTTAAATTTGTACCTTACAATTTAATATGGCAACTGTGCAGAGAAATGTGTATGCCTGTTCATTCTTTTATGTAGATGCAGAATATAATACTTTCATATACATTATATTATAGTGTTTATAAAGGAATCGACCTCAATCGGGATCATCGAGTCAATGCAAACGATCCATTCCTTAATATGTGCTTCGCCAGGGCTACGCACCATCTTTATACCACCGTTGATATTACAAAGGCGGGTTTATTAAACAAATACGCTAATGTTTGCATTATAATAACGATATGTGCACATATCGTCGTAGATAATTTACATCAGTCGTTTTCAATCTTTTTATACCACGGACCGGCTTCATGCCGGACAATCATACCCGCGAATCGGTAGTGGCACGTATGTTTAATTTAAGTGCATTTCGACAAAGAGAGCAATAATAAAAAGAGCAATTTATTAAAGGGAAGACAAAAATGTATAATCTTTTGACTCTCATGCCTGAGGTCCAGCTCGACCACACCCTTGTGTGCTTAGTCTCCCTGAATCGATATCTTTTACACTATTATCACATCAATACCAACTCCCCATAATGTAGAATCAATGTAAAAATCTATAAATTAATTGGGATTAAGAAATTACTAGAAAATTATTAGAAATAAAAAAAATATATATATATATATATATATTAAAGTTAGTGTAAAATAAAAATAATGAAGTAATAATGTCGTTTTTGACGTTAAAAAATACGTCAAAAAAACGACATTATTAGGTCATTATTTTGGGAAAACCAACCTAATATTATGTTAAAATCTATTACCGTTATGATAGAAAAGGTAAACGTAAAATATACTTTAGTTATAAAAATATACATTAACTGTAAAATGTACTTACAGATATAGTAGATAGTATTGAGTAGATGAATAACAAAAATATTGCAATATGTGCTCTGGTAAAAAAACATGAAATGATAACAGCAAAATTGCAATATGAGGACCGGTAAAAATGGTTGCTGGAGACATTAGATTTATAATACCTAGAAATTCATACACAGATGTCCTCAAGAACACATGGCACAGTGGATAAAGGCGTTAGTTAGATCCAGTGACAAGGGTTGAGTTCAATACCCGGTTAAGGGTATTAAAGAGGGGAATTAACAGGAGATAACTGATAACTAACATCCATTAAACATGGCACGTGGAACTAGTCTACCCCAGTGAGCGAAATAAAGGGTTCAGTTCGACATTCCAACCACCTGAAGAAGGCCGGAGCGTACAACAGCCGAAACGTTGTAATAAATATGGCGACAAAGATGAGGGCAATAGTCCGAATAACGTAAATAGAGTTGATGAATATTGGATATTTAAACAAATCTTTTTTAAGACCAATATTCACTTTATATAATATATAACTTTACTTATTTCTTTGCGGACCGGTGGTTGGGGACCTCTGTGGTAAAGGACCACAATAATATTCACGATAGATGTCTTGCGAGATTGTTAGTCATTTTTTTTTCGATGGCAGAGTTTTCAATTCTGAGACTCTTAACTGTAAAAGACTTTTATTTTGTAAGCCAGTTGCCAACTTAGTTATGTTAATGTTTTCTCTAAGAACGAACGCGACTAGAACAGCAATGTTCATGCGTATATTGAAAGAATATTGTAATCCGTCTGTTTAAAAAGAAAGCGTTGATAGGGTTAGGAATAAACTCAATTCGATTTCAACTCTGAATTTTATCAGAAAGCGAAAAAAAAAAACTCCCCTTTCTTTCGTTACATACACTTTTTGGAAATTAATGGCGTCTGCCCAACTCATCTTAACATTCTTATCGCTTCTGTTATTGGGCTTAGAAAATAAGTTGAAAATGATTACAAATAAATAAAAATATACATTAATTGTAAAATTTACTTACAATTACGATCGATAGTATTGAGTAGATAAATATTGAATATTTAAAGAAATCTTTTAAAATTAAAGTCCAATAATCAATTTATCTATTATATAATTTTAAACAAATTAATTATTTCTTTGCTGCCCGGTAGTAAATGATCCACGGACAAGTATCGGTCCGCGTCCCGGTGGTTAAGGACTTCTGATTTATATATTACTTCTTCCTAAAATTTTTAGGGTGCTGTGTATTTATTGTAAATGTCTAAGTTCTCTCGTTTTTATTAGTAAAACGTAATGACCTCTAGGATTTTTAGTTTTTGAGATAATAAATTATTGCAATTTTATGCCAGTTGTTTAGTATGTGGCTCACCCCAGCTCATGGTAGAATAGACTTTGCACACAATGTCCTTCAGAAAAATCAGGTGGAGGGTTGACCTGAAGGATAACGTACTAGCCGAAGGTGGAGATCTGCGTCTCGCAGGATGTTAGCAGCTGATCTCTATGGGTGAACAACTGATAGACCAAACTGCATCTAGGGTGTGCATGCATATAAAAAAAAAACTATATGAAAGGCAGATATATAAAACACCCATCTGAGAGTTAAAAAGAACAGTCTCTTAAAACCACATGAGAATGTATAGTCCACACTCGGAATTGACGCCAGGCTCACTGGCCGATTCTAATTGACAATGTCTGGAGTTGAATAATATGTTATGCTACATATGAGCGATTGGGTCTCAAGTTTTCATTGGCCTTCAGACGATAATATTAAAGTAACGTCTAATTAGCAAACTAGGCTAAATTTTTCAAAGGTAAACTAATTGTTAATCTCTGTCAGATTATCGTCGGCCGATTCGAAGGTATATAATTTTCGAGGATTTCCTTAAAATGTTTGATCTTTTCTTGCAAGTAATTTAGGGATACTTCTTCCGCAATCCTAGATTGGAAATGCTTATCATCTGTTTTACTTGTTTAGATATATCACAAGTTTAGCTGGGTTGACTTCCTGTTTATGTCGACGAACACATCGTCATCCACTGTGACTCGATTCTGCACTTAATAGCTATGTGGTTACCTTCGAGCTCAACCCTCTGAGACACTTAGCTCTTTTGGGGTTCTGATGTGACACCGAGTACAAAGCGTACTTTTCTATTTGTCTTAGATTAAATCCAGTACATAATGTAGTCATCACAGATCAACTACTATTTAATCAAAAGTTCTTGATGCACAGTAAATTTGATTCAAACATCTAGTATTTCTTGGTACGAAACATACTACATTACAAACTCTCGCAAAACAAATTTATTTTCTTTAATAGAAATAAGTGGGAATTAACAATCTTGAAAATAACAAGTTTCCTATATATGACTGTTCACAGAATATTGCTATATCAATCACTGAGTTGTTGAGTTATAAGCAAATACGAATAATGTTCTTTGAAAACATTCTGTGTAATTTCTAAGTCGAATAAAGAGAAGAGTTTAATTTGATATATTTTTAAAATCATTTTACCCAAAGAAGGGGATAAAGTCACTAAGACTAGGGGGATTACTGTTTGTGAAACAATATAAGAAAAAGAAAAAAAAATTATTAAGAAGAGAGAACAGTGAAAGAACGAGAATTAAAAAGACATAAGATAGCGATTGACATTGCATTTAAAGTTGTGAAAATCAAAGTTGACTGGAATGCAAGACGCCGGAAGGGAATTCCGTAAGAAAGAAGCGCAAGGAGGCAAACTGTTAGCATAGAACTTAGGGTTACATCTCGCCATTTCAACTGTAAAATAATGAGACCTTGCCGCCAATATTGTACTGTGCTTAAATTTAGGGAGTCTAGATTACCACAGAGGGAAGTTCATCAGAACAATTATCATAAAAGCATTTATAGTAAAACCACAGGGAAATCTACATTACGATGGTGGGGAAGTGATTGAAGACGAGATGATAAATCAACACCAATTTTACATTAAAACTCGTGTAAAATTTCATAGATTTATTTGAAAGTGAAACTTTTACATTATCTTATATATCAAATTAGAAGTATGTCACTTTCTCAAATCCAATATCGCTTCAAAACATAAGCGATTACATCTCTTCACAGATTCCTATATTATTTGTGATTTGTTCTAACATTTCTGTCATTAGGAGAAAGACAACTCTGCATTCAA